CCCCCCCCCCCCCCCAACAAAAAAAAAGACTCAAAACAAACAACAACAACAAAACAACAACAAACAAAAAACCCCAAACCAAACAAACAGAAAACAAAAACAAAAGCAAAAAAAACCCACCCCAAAAACCAAACAAAAAACAAACAGCATCAACAACAACAAAAAGTAACAACAAAACACAACAACAACCCAGCAGGAGAGCATTTGGTAGTCATGACCCGAGTGTGGCGCGCCCCCTCAGAGTGTCAGGTGGTTAGGGCGACACACTTGCTTGGAGGGGGTTCTTCCTCTGATCAAAAATCTCCAAGGGGCTCTTGTTACCTAGAGGTTAAGGTGTTCGCCTCTCATTCAAAGGTCCCGGGTTCGAATCCGGGTTGCGACGGAAAAATCTTCTTCTCTAAAATTGCCTCCTTTCGCCTCCTTTCCTCCTCTCTAGCAATGTTCTGTCGTCTGCTTTCGTCTCCACTTTCTGCCTCCACCTCCTTTGCACCCTCCTCTGGGCTCCCGACTCTTTCTGCAGCCTTTCTACTATTACTCCTTTGCTCCTTCCTACTGCTGCCTTTCAGCCACACCCTGATCTTTTGGTAGGAAAGATCTAGACCTAGCCTTCTTGAACAAGGGCAACAAATCTCGAAGGTCCCATGTGCAAGTTGCGCACGTTAAAGATCCCTTGGTGGTCTAAAATCGATAAAAGTAGGCTATGACAGCCTTCCCTGCAAAATTTAAAATTTCTTACTAACTGAAAATGTTTGGTGTGTCCCACGCGCTCATATGACATGCAGTTGCGAGCGTCGTAAAACACTTACCAAAAAATAAATTTTTTTTAAAAAAAAAACCCGTCTCCTGCTGTCTGCTCCCCCCTCAAGTTTTCTCCCACATTGTTATTCCATATTTCTGCCCCTGTCCAGAAGGTGAATTAACTGTTTCGAGTGACGCTGACCGTGACTGAATCTTTCCTCTCCGCAAACCGCACACTGACAGGGCCGGAGCTCGGGGGTGTAGCTGAAAGACAGCAGTAAGAAGGAGCCAAGGAGTAGCAGTAGAAAGACTGCGGAAAGAGTCAGGAGCCCAGAGTAAGGAGCAAAGGAGGGTGGGGGCATTAGCTTCCTCGCTGTCGTTTCTAGCGTGATTTCGATTCTCACTTTGGGAGGTTTATTAGTTTTGAAAGAGTTTTACGGCACTTGCAATTAGATATGTCATATGAGCGTGCGAAATACAAGTTGGTTGCATGCACGACAGTTCTTAGCACTGCTTTATCTTGGTCAATGATCAGTTTTAAATGTTAGAAATTAATGGTAAAAATCTCAATCTAAAAATGAAAATTTACTTTTTTTAAAAATCTACTATCGCCTATAGAGACTGCTTCTATTTGGTGTCCCAATCAGACGCGGTTGTCCATGACAGGCAGGTTTACCGTTATCCGACTCCTCCTCGACCTTATTTGTACCGAAGTGGGTGTAACATTGGACGTTTACGGCAATAAAATGTGACACAATCCTATGGAATCAGGTGCTAGTCAATTTTTGGGCTAATGCAGTTATTTTTATCATCTTAAAACTCGGTCACTAGCTTGCCTTGCTTCGGAGGAAAAAAATACCCATCAGTCATGAAAAGAAGTTGAGATATTTGCGATTGAAAGGGATGAAATGGTATAGGTTTAACGCCCTTAGCGCTTATCAACACCATTAGGTTATTCAAGAGGCGGGACCTCCGAGTTTAACGTCCATCTGCGGAAAGACTGAGCCAAGTGGGAAATTCGTGTAAGTGCCTTTCCCAAGGACACAACGTCGGGCCGAGTTGAGGCTCGAAACCCCGAACCTGCAATCTGTCAATTACGAGTCCGGTAGTCTAACCACTAGGCTACCGACGCCATATTTGCGATTGATGAAGGAGGTTGGGGGCGCCTGATGTCAGAGGTATAAGTAACGAGAAAGTTGACACCAAAGTCTGGAGATTTCCAAATTTCGGCGTCTTTGGAAATTGCACTTTCACATTTTTGTGTGTCTTTCATCAACGTTTTTTTTTTCTTTCTTGACAATAAAAAAGTAAAGTTCATACAGGAATATGTGTTTAAAACTATTCTTTTTTATTTTTTACTTTTGTTTTTTGTTTTTGGCAAGTGTTTTGCGGCGCTCGCACCTACATAAGGTCATATGAGCGCGCAGAACACATGAAACATTTTCAGCTGGTAGGAAATTTTTAATTTTGCTCACGTGGCGGCCGAAGCCTACTCTTGTCGATTTTAGATCACCAAGGGATCTTTAACGTGCACAAATTGCACCTGGGATCTCCGAGATTTCGCCCATATCCGAGGAGGATAGGTGTAGATCTTACCCACCATAAGATTAGGAGTGTGGCTGAAAGACAAGCAGTAAGAAGGAGCCAAGGAGTAGCAGTAGAAAGGCTGCAGAAACAGTCAGGAGCTCAGAGGAGGGGACAAAGTGAGTGAGGGGGTGGGGGAAAAAATGGAGACAAAAGCAGAAGACGAGAACATTGTTTGAGAGCAGAAAAGGAGGTTACAGGAGAAAATATTAGAGAAGAAAACGTTCCGTCGCTATCCGGATTCGAATCGAGGACCTTTGAATGAGAGGCGTACACCTTAACCTCTAGGCCACGAGAACCCCTTGTGTTTTAAATGATGTAAAAGCTGTTTTAAAAAAAAACCAATTAAAAATAGCTCAACAGATTGAAAAAAATGTTGGTTACTTCGATTTTATTGTTTTGACAAGCGCCTGATTCCACCACGCTCCGACACAAAAATAATCACGTGCATTGACAGTGAGCGGACGTATGTCAGTGATCAAAGACCTGATGCTGGCAACGTTCACGTCTGCTGAGATAGTCGTGGAAGTGTCGGACGGCGGCCGCCATACTGAACATCTGACTGTGAGAATTCCTCTGAAAAGTGAGTAATGATGGCCGTTCTATTTCGTTTCTTTTCTTCTTGTGTAATTTATTTTACTTTTTGTTTTTGACTGCTTTGTCACTTACTTTTACTTAACTTTAATCCAGCGCTTATACCCTTGTGGGTGTCGCGGGAAAAAAAGAGACGACTCTCTGCAACCAACCGGAGAGCTTGGCTCAGGGGAATTTCCTGAGTTGTTAGTGTTTTCCTGACTCTATTTATCCAGGTCTTTCTCGGTCGCCCTCTAGCCTTCTTGCCATTGAATTTTTATATATTTTTTATGTAGACACGTTGTGCTGGATGGTGTGTAGGTAATCGTATGATATGTCAGAATCATTATTGATTCTTTGGTGTTAGATGTGATGCCTGACATCATTGCTGTTGGCAACGTTCACATCAGCTGAGCTAGTTGTTTTGTTAAGGTTAAAATATCAAAGGACTGTTCTTTTTCGTTTCTTTTCTTCTTCTGTAGTTTGTTGTTTGTTGTTTTTGGTTGTTTTGTTAAGGTTAAAATATCACATGACAGTTCTATTTCGTGTCTTTCCTCCTTTCATAGTTTGTGCTGGGTAAAAAAATTTTGCGTGTTGCTTTGTAAAGGCTAATATATCAGATGGCCTCTGCAGCAGTAGCCACTCTATAGTGTTGGTTAGTGAGTGGCCCATTTGTTTGGGGGGTTTTTTTCTACTTCTTCTTACATGTGTTTGATTGTATGTATGTATGTATGTATGTATGTATGTATGTATGTATGTATGTATGTATGT